AGAGGTAGTTACAAATATATATATTTGCACATATATATGCATACCTTGGCCAAGAGTACCTCCATTTTTCCGAGAAGTCAGTCGAGAGAGAAAGGGAGGTAGTCAATATCGTGCCTGGTGTTTATCAACCAATTCAACGATTCATATTTATTATTTTGGGGGAAGCGCCTCATTGTTTGTTGCTACAGGCGGCGGGCGCCAAGTCGCACAATAATTGGCTCACTCCCCCGACGTCATGTTCAACACAAATTCGAGATCCACAATACGAAAAGATCTCGACAAGGCATGAGCCACGACTACAAGACAACCATATCGGCAAATTTAACTAACAAACTCTCCCCTAATTTAGCGGTTAAGTAGGTTTTGAAGAGCAAGTGAAACACATCTGAGGCTTGAGGCCTCGATAAGTTATTCGGCGCTGCGAGAGAGTAGCGTCTCCGAACTCTTCTGAACCGAGTTCATTTCTTTGCCCATCATGTCGGATCTCAACTCGTGGGAAGATGATCCGGCAGCCCAGGCAGATGATAATTTGGCTCGCCAGACTCAGCGAAGTCTGAACGTGAGTGAGCGCCAGACTGCTCAGTCGAACACATTTCGTCCGGATGCGAATTCATTCAACCCGGGCTCCCAATCATTTGTCCCTCAGAATCAACCGTATACTCCACAATATGGCGCTGGGTATGACCAGTCGCAGTATGGATACTACAACCAGCAGCAGGCTTACTACCCTCAGTATGGTCAGGGAGGATATCCTCAGTACAAACAAGGTAGCTACGGTGGTGCCGGGTATGGGCAGGGTGGGTACGGCGAAGCTTACGGTCATCAGTATGGTGGGTATAACCAGCAACAGCAGTATCAATCGCAAGCGCAGCAGCAACACCAGAGACAGGCCCCAGTGATCGCAAAGAGGCCAACTGCTGGTGCTGTTCCCGATGCCGGAGCGTCCGCATCATCGAGTGGAGCAGGAGAACCAGAGACCAAGCCCCCTGCGACAAGCAGTGCAGCGCCAAAAGTGCTAAAAATAGGAGGAGATTCGCCAGCGCCCAAGGCTAAGGTACTTTCAATAGGAACACCCGCTCCTGCAGCTCCAGCTATAGAAAAAAAGGGGATATCAGCAGGGGAAGGCGCGGGCTCAAAAGCCGCCGCAGCAAAGGCAATCGAAAAGACTGAAAAGTCATCTGACAAGAGTACCTCTCTAAGTGGTAAAACACCATCAGCGCCCACCTCAGGGAAAACTAGCCCAGCCCCAGCCGACATGAAGGCTCTGGCTCGTCAGGCTGATGCTGTAGCAAAAGAACAAGCTGAAGACGTGGACGAAGAGACCCTTGCGGAAGTGTATGGAAAAGAACATGTGAATCTCATCTTTATTGGCCATGTTGATGCTGGAAAATCTACATTGGGTGGGAGCATCCTCTACGCGACAGGAATGGTTGACGAGCGAACGATGGATAAGTACAAACGGGAGGCAAAGGAAGCGGGAAGGGAAACATGGTATCTGTCTTGGGCTCTCGACTTGACAAAAGAAGAGCGATCTAAGGGTAAAACGGTTGAGGTCGGCCGAGGTTTCTTTGAGACGGACAAACGACGTTATACAATTCTCGATGCACCAGGCCATAAAACATTTGTTCCCAATATGATCGGCGGGGCCTCACAAGCAGACGTTGGCATCCTTGTTATAAGCGCAAGAAAGGGCGAGTATGAGACGGGTTTCGAAAAGGGAGGCCAGACTAGAGAGCATGCTGTGCTGGCGAAGACACAAGGGGTAAATAAACTAGTGGTCGTGGTTAATAAGATGGACGATCCGACGGTGGAGTGGAGCAAGGAGCGATACGATGAGTGCACGACTAAACTAACCAATTTCTTGAGAGGCACAGGCTATAACCCAAAGACTGGTAAGTTATGTAGATGGAGATATGCCGACTGTTTCGTCTTCCAGCTGACCATCCGATAGACCTGATGATGATGCCCGTCTCAGCACAAACTTCGGTTGGCATAAAAGATAGAGTACCTAAGAAGTTAGCACCGTGGTGGAATGGGCCCTCACTTCTCGAATACTTAGACGGCATGCAGACTCTGGAACGAAAAGTCAAGGCGCCTTTCATGATGCCTATAAATGGCAAGTACAGAGTAAGCTTGTTTTGCTTATCCTTGTGCTACTACGGCAGGCTAACTTGTAGGTCTTAAAAGGATATGGGTACAATGATTGAGGGGAAAATTGAGTCAGGCGTGATCAAGAAGGGCCAGTCTCTTATCGTTATGCCCAACAAGCAGACTGCCGATATTTCTGCTATATACGGCGAGACGGAAGATGAGATTCCACTTGCTATGTGCGGAGACCAAGTTCGCCTAAGGATTCGTGGCATCGAGGAGGAAGATATCTTCCCCGGATTTGTGCTTTGCTCTTCTCTTCGGCCCGTTCATTGTGTCCAAGCTTTCGAAGCTCAGATCCGCATCCTAGAACTCAAGTCGATACTTAGCGCGGGGTTCAACTGTGTTCTCCATGTGCATTCGGCAATTGAAGAGGTCTCCTTCGCGGCTCTCCTCCACAAGCTAGAAAAGGGTACCGGAAGGAAAAGCAAGAAGCCGCCACCGTTTGCCGCTAAGGGCCAAAGCATCATCGCCAGGCTTGAGGTTACGGGAGGTGCTGGGGCAGTGTGTGTAGAAAGATTTGAGGACTATCCGCAGTTGGGGAGGTTCACACTGCGAGATCAAGTAAGAACCCTTGTCTTTGTTGCCGAAGCTATTCGAGCGTCACTAACGCGCTACTTTATAGGGCCAAACAATCGCAATCGGTAAGATCACAAAACTGATCACCGACACTTCCGCTGCCGCCGCTGCCGCCAACTAGAGCCGATCAAAACCCTTTTTCGCCCAAACTTGCATCGAAAGGGGGAACCTTTATTTTTAGAGAACCACTTACTATTTCACGGAACTCATACTTTTAATGGGTGGGAGGATGCATTGGCCTCAAAATGACGCATGTTGCATCAACCAAAAAAAAACCTTGATGATTGATATTACTGTTGTTTGTTCATGTCGTTTAGGGGGATTTGGGAAGGGAAATTTTTCGTGGCTAGTGGTTCGAGGGCGAGAAAGGAGGTAGAGAATTATAAAAAATTTCTTTTGATTAACCCCCCGAGTTATACTATTTGACTACTACATGTAGTCGCCCATCTGAAGTAGGGGAGGAGCCCCTCCGCCATAGGTCATGTTCTTTCTGCGGTATCCGTCCAAATGCAACGTCCCGCCTAAACTAGTAGGTTACCCATCCAAGAACTCCGATAACCAAAAATGCAGTGACGGTATCCGACCTATGCGTAAACATAAACACACCGGCCCCTTAACTCCTACCTAAATATTACTAATCAATCATCCGAATCCGAGCCATAGTCCACTAACGCTAATCCATTTCCAAGCGCCTCCGCTGTCGTAGTACCCCCAGAATCCAATCGCTCACCACCACCCTCCCCTTTCGAACTAGGGATGTTGGATATAGGTTCCAGGGCTTCGCTACCCTCCCCTCTCTTTCGTTTCACGAGAGCGGCTGAGATCGGCGGTTTGCTGTTACCGTTACTATCAGCACCCTCATTGTTGAACATAGAACCCCAATCACTATCCTCGACAAGGAAAGGGTCGACAGCCGCCCGGGTGTTGTCGCGAAGTTCTCGGCGAAGTCTTTCGCGGCTCTTTTGGGCGGCGGAAAGGGGCTTAGTTTTGTGTCTGGATTTGGACGAAGGTCGACTAACGCCTTTGTCCGCGCCGCCTGCTTCTTGAGCTTTCCCCTCGCCCTGCCCCTCACCGTCGAAGGCGAACAGCGGTCTAGCTCTCGCTCGCGCAACTAAGGTATCGGATTCCACCCTCTCGAAATCCACAAGCCTAGCTCTCAGACGATCTTCTTCCACCTCATCTAATAGCTCAATACCAAGACCCATACGGTCCTTAAGCTCCTCAGTTGCAGCCGCGGTCTTGTGTCGTATGTCACGTTCTGCACGAAAGACTTTCCGAAGTCTTTTGCTGTGTTCATAGGGATCGCTCCAGTGGCGGTCTCGGATTTTCTTGAGGGATTCGACGCGGGTTTTTGCGCTGAGGGCGAGGCGGCGGTCCTCTACTTTTTCATCGAGGGCGGCGAAGGGGTCATTTTCTAGGCGTTCACGATCCTCCGCCGTACGGATTTTGATTTCACCCGGCTCGGCTTCTTTGTCTTCGCCTGTGTCGCGTTTTTTGGCACCTGAGGTGACGACGTAGGCTGTGTTTTTTGGGTCTGTTTGTATTTCGATCCAGCCATCGCATATGGTGTGTTTCATGCGAAAAGAATAGATGGGGGTGCTATAGTAATTGCCAATTTTCTTCTTTTCGGCATTGAACCTGACGCCTTGTCCGATAATGACAGGGTGGGGTTGGCAGGTAGTACACCATATTGGGAAGGGCATCTCGAAGCGCACGGTGAGGATGCCTTTGTCGAGCTTTCTGGCGCGGTTACCCAGAGCATGCCTATTTCAAGTGAGATCAGCCAAGTGTAATATGAACCAAGAGTGAACGATATATGCTCACTTTCCCGCGAGCTTGTTGGCAGAAATTGTCCCTTCATGCTCTGGAGGGACATAACGTCCCATATCTGTGCCCTATTTAGCATAGAACGAAAAGATGAAAGAGACGATATCACTCACTAAAGCCCTGCATCGTGAGATATTCTACCCTTAAGGGGGTGCAGCCCAAGGTTGTGTTATCGATAAATTGCGAAGCGATGTGTTTTTTGCCCAAATAGAGGAAATTACCCCACAAATTCGAATTGCTGTCACATTCAGTCACTCATTTTACTGGGAAAATACGCCATCTTAATTTCCAAATAATTAAATAACATATTACTTATTTCTTGTTTCATCGCGAATACAAGTACTCCACACCATTTGGTGGCAAGTTTGAGAATTTAACGATTCCTAAGGCGGTGGGCTATACTCTACAGCAATGTGTAGCACTTTAGGCCCCACCATCAACAGAGCGGCTGGATGGTCTAGTGGTATGATTCTTGCTTTGGGAGATCGGGTATTCACTCGATTCTATTTGTAAGAGGTCTCGGGTTCAATCCCCGATCCAGCCCCATCTGTTTATCTTTTTTAAAAAGTTTTTATTTTTTGAGCACAATCCAGGAAGCCGCGGCGAAAAGTTCGATATTATTTCGGTGCCCAAACTATACATATACTTTCATTGCCATCTAGTCATGGAGTCGCGAACGCACGTGACGAGCGATTGCCCTGTCTTGGCGAATTTTATTATCTGATTCTGATTCTCTTCGATTGCGATTCTACTACGAGCGAACCGGACAATCAAACTGCTGCGTAGCCATGACTTCCTAGGAAGTCGGCACAGCAACACTAAATGGCGCCCATCCATAGGAAGCGTCAATTGCATCCTACTACGGGCCCAGAGGCGTCACGGAAACGCCCCCGAGCCGATTTGAAAAATAATGGATCGAAGGCAGATACAACTAAAGTGTCACTGGGCGACTTAGACTGGAAGGAGGTGCCTATGCCGGATAGGCTGGACGATGTGGAAGGTTTCTTCGGTCTCGAGGAGGTGGAGGGTGTTGAAATTACACGTAACAATAATGGTCAAGTGGAGTATCTGGTATGTCTCTTTGAGCGCGAGACGTAGGCAAAATCGTTGGGCTAATGAGGCTTAATAGGTGGCGAGCAAGAATACCAAAGGGGGCAAGAAAAACCCAACAAGCAAGAAGCAGAAGGCTGTGGAAAATGTAGCGGAAGATATGGACGAAGCGGAATGGAACGGGATTTGTGAAGATCCCCTAGGGCCGAATGCTTCTAAAATCGGTAAACCGGGAAACGACCAAATCATATTAAGAAGCACTAGGGTGTCTAAGAGGAAGCATGAGAAGAATTCGAAGTATCCAGAAAGGGGAAAACCTCTGGGAAATGCTTTCGCTGGTTTGGATGATAGTCCAAGCGAGGAGGAGGTGGACGTGTCGGCATGGAAACCATTGGATTTAGCACCGGAAACACTACTATCCCTTGCTAGAATAGGGTTCTGCCAGCCAACCCCGATACAGCTTGCCGCCATACCAGAGATTCTCGCTGGTCATGACGTGATTGGAAAGGCATCTACGGGGTCAGGGAAAACGCTTGCGTTTGGAATTCCAATTCTAGAGCATTTCCTGGAGGACCGGCAAGTGAAGCCTGGACGTATAGCATCAGACTCAGAAAGCATCTTGCAAGACCCAATCGCCTTGATATTGTCACCAACACGAGAATTAGCTCACCAGCTTACCACTCATCTTAGCGTTTTATTCGATCATTCGACCTTTACCCACGGCAGCCCCTCTATAGCCACGCTCACCGGCGGCTTGTCACTGCAAAAACAAAAGCGCCTCCTGTCAAAGGCCGACATTGTCATTGGTACACCAGGGAGGCTATGGGAAATCATTAGTGAAGGCAAGGGTTTGGTGGCCTGGCTAAAAAGGATCAAATTTCTTGTGGTTGATGAAGCCGATAGGCTATTGAGTGAGGGGCATTTCAAAGAGCTCGAAGAGATATTGAATGTGTTGGATCCGAGCGATGATGGCGAAGAGAGCGGTATTGAAGAGGGTGGCGGAAGCGATAGGCACCCACCAAACACAAACACGTCAAGACAGACACTTGTTTTCTCAGCTACCTTCCAGAAGGGCCTACAGCAAAAATTAGCAGGCAAACGCGGGCACTTCAGTGGTGATCTCATGGACAAAAGGGAATCGATGGAATATCTCCTCAGGAAGTTGAAGTTCAGGAAAGGGAAGCCCAAGTTCGTTGATGTCAATCCTGTCGAGCAGATGGCAGAGCGTCTTAAGGAGGGATTGGTAGAGTGTGCCGCGTTGGAGAAAGTAGGTTTATTCATGCTATAGGAAGTCATTAAGCTTTTTGATTAACCGGGATATCAGGATCTTTATCTATATGCCCTACTCCTCTACCACCCGAACAAAAAAACACTCATCTTTACAAACTCAATATCTTCGGTTCGGCGACTCATCCCCTTTCTCCAAAACCTCGGCCTTCCCGTCCATGCACTTCACTCCCAGATGATCCAAAAAGCCCGCTTAAGATCCATCGAGCGGTTCTCATCCCCGCAGAGCCCAGGTGGTATCCTCGTTGCGACAGACGTCGCTGCTAGAGGCCTTGACATCGGCGGAGTCCAGCTAATCCTCCATTATCACCTCCCTCGAACCGCGGACATGTATGTCCACCGCTCCGGCCGCACCGCACGGGCCTCCCAATCGGGCACCAGCATCCTCCTCTGCGCTCCCGAAGAGGCCGTCGGAGTACGCCGCCTCGTCGCCAAAGTCCACTCCTCTATCCCCTCTAACAATAATACCAGGTACTCTATGCGCACCCTCAACATCAACCGCCGCCTCGTCTCCCGCCTCAAACCCCGGGTCACACTCGCTAAAAAAATCGCAGATTCTACGCTCGCAAAGGAGAAAAAGGAGTTGGACGACGATTGGTTGCGTAATGCGGCCAAGGAGTTGGGCGTTGAGTATGATAGTGAGACGTTTGAGGCTAATGGGGGGAGCCGGAAGGGGAGGGGCACGGGGAGGAAAAAGGCTGCGAAGGAGGCGAGGGCGTTGACGAAGGCGGAAGTTGGGGGGTTGAGGGCCGAGTTGAGGGGGTTGTTGGCGCAGAGGATCAATGTTGGGGTTAGCGAGACGTACTTGACCGCCGGACGGGTTAACGTAGAAGAGCTTCTTGAAGGTGGCGGGAAGACGGGGGAGTTTTTGGGTATGGTCGATAGTATTGAGATTTGATGCTTGGAAATATATGATTATAGGGGCTCTTTTTTAGAAAAAAAACGCCTACGGCACTCACCGTGCACTACGCATGGTCCTCCTAAGCTGTCCCTATCCCCTCACGCCCAAGAAGAAGCTAGTAGTAAGAACAGCCACCCCCAGTAGGCAGGCTATAGGCACGGGGAAATCCAAGTAGCCGGATCTACCGCGGACTCGTCATACTCTCTCTACCACCCCTTACGACCTCCGGACAACATCGCGAAAACGAAAAAAAAAGACTTTGAAAGAATATTTATCTATCGAGATAAAGAAATTTTTAGGAATACCAGCGGTTTCGATTTTTTTGCCCGATTCACGCTTTACTTGTCCTTTTTTTTATTTTCCGGGATGGCGCGACTATATCTACTACGGTTATGGGAAGGGAGTCCCTAGCTCCTGGGTCCCTCCCGAGCTATGATGCAGCAAACTATACAACGTTGCTGGCCCCTGGAAGCATACGTGCATGTATGTATGCCCGTGACTGTAGGAACGAGTCTCTCGAAACATTCGCTCTATGAATGCGTTCGTTGGTGGTCCTCAGAGGGATGGATATGTGGGGGTCACTTCCCGGTATGTGCGCGACCGATGGATACTTGTAACACACATATACATATATCTTGCACATTGGCTTTATTCTTCCGGTAAGCTTTTAAAGCGAATAAAAATATAAGGTGAGGAATTGAGGGTGAGATGTCATGGGGGTGGTGTTGTGGAGATGAATATCTATCGCTTTCAGTTTTCAGTTTTCCGCTGTTGACTCTGCTGTGCTCAATTGAAACTCTTGCAACCCGCGGGGGTTTTATCGCAAATACACCAAATTAAACCTTGATTGGGACAAGCGCTAGTGGCTTGTCGAAAAGGTGGTTACTGGCACTTTTCCTAGTGGGAATTGACCATCACTTCTGGTCCATATTGCTCAAAACCGCTCTACTCCGCATGGGCTCCGAGCGATAGGTAGAAAGAAATGGCCATCAAATGCATGCCCCAAACAGCTACAGGATAAAACCAACATCCCGCACCGCATATCCACCTTCTTGTTTTTCGCCGACTTTGATTTCTACGGCGTTGTAGTCCCCAGCGAAGCCTCCGCCCTGCCTTCCGTAGGATTCCACTGTCTCGATACCTGCGGGTTCGTTGGGGGGGGCGCCCGGGGGATTCTGATCTGCCTGCTCATGTCATTAGTTTAAGTTGCTCTTATCCCTTACGGTTCTCCCTTAATAAACCGAAAAGGTACCTGAAACCCTAATCCCCATGAAGTATGATATGTAGGAGACCGCTTACTCGAGTACCATCCACTCCACTCTTCTCCGTCGCCTCCCTCTGTTCGCTGGTATCCGTTCTCTTAGGGTTAAAGACCTCACGGAATTGTTTTGTAGCCTGGTCGCCTGACCCACTCTTCATGTACTCTTTTGGTTCGACACTAATACTGTCCTTATCCAAAGTGTCTTTTCGCCGCGGCGGCATGGAAGCTCGCGATTGCCGCACGGAGGCGATCCTGGTGCGTGGAGGACATGTTTTGCGGAGGCGGTAGGTTGTCGTTTGCGCCATGAAGCGAGCCGAGGTTACTGATGTTTGGGGTACGAAGGGGAGCATGGTGGGCAGATCATTTTTATTGCCAAATTAATAAAAAGAAATGTGCGTGTGGCACTGTCTAGCTGATTGAGTGATTGAATATTTGTGGTTGAGAATTTTTGGTGTGACTCGGCGTTAAGAATAGCGATCAATTGCAAGACTTGTGATGTCTATGTTGGTTGGGGGTTAATCCGCAACGAATCAAACAATGCCGTGAGTAAAGCATAGGAACTCAGCCCTTCGGCCAAGATGGCCAAGAGGGCAGATGCTAACGTAGCACACCAGATAAAAACAGTTGTAGCTCACAAAGAAGCCTTCTTGAGAAGGTTGAGGTTGTATTTTTCCGAAAACATCAGTAGGAAATGAAATGAAAAGCCCAGCCTCGGTCTGGCCGTCGGCTAAGCATTGGAGGGCGGGAGGGGAGAAATGTCGAGAAGATATATGTTCCCCCAACAGGGTTGCTGGCGTGTTGTACTACTTTATCAATTTCACTCAAACCGGCTGCTACCTTGGATGTAGCACACACAGTCAGATGACGAGTAAATCGGATGGAAAACTGCTCTATAGCCCTGGGAAGACTGCTTCCAGCCGCGGCATGTAGCATCGACTTACTACCGCCAGGTTGAGGTGTTCTGAAACCTGTGCCATTTGTTTTCACGAAGCGGAAGATGACGTTTTACCGTATCCCCCTCCAGCGGTTCTTCTCAACTCCAATG